TATCTTATCTTATCATATTATATACATTTGTACTTATGTAAATATGTATATTTTTATAGTTTTTCAAATCATTACAGTGCAATACTTTGCACGATTATGGATATACTTATAAGCACAAACACATGGCTGTTACACCTGTTACACTTTTTTATATATATTATACAGGATAATATACACTTTTACATTTTTATATATGATTCTTACTCCTGTTTTTATTTCTTTTTTCTCTCTTAGTTTAGGTAAAAGTTTTTCTAGTATGTTTCTCACAGTCGGGGGGAGTATTTTCTAGCCAGGAAAAACATTTCACTGTATGTTGTACTAGCTATAACTACATGTGACAAATAAATAAATAAAGAATGAATAAAGAATGAAAGTCCCAGGTCATTGGTGTAAAAGTCAAGTCACAAGTCTTAGAACATTTTTTCAAGTCAAGTCTAAAGTCATAAAATTAATGACTCCAGTCCACACCTCTGGTACTCACTGACAGGTTCTGGGCACTTTTTGCGTGTCTCTGGCCAGCCTGACCGGATGATGCGTTTGAGGGTAGAGAGTTGTTCGTCTTGGGCCGTGGCAGTTTTGATGCATTCCAGTTTCTCTGTGCTCACTGGTGCTGTCCGGATGATTGTGTGTGCTTGTGTTTCCATTTCCTCACTTAGTGAGCTGTCACTGTCGTCTGTTGACTTTCTTGATAGCGTGTTGCTACTGGGATCTCTTTTCCAGGCCTGTGGACAAGTGTTATGCTGTACTTCTGAAGCGCAAGCAGCGTACGTTGTAGTCGAGGCGGTGCAGTGATGTGTGATGAAATCTTTTACAGCCATAGAGGACGGCGTAGAGTTCTTTCTCTCTTTGGGCGTAGTTTTGCTCTGTTTTGTTGAGCAGTTTCGACGCGTATGTGACCGGCCGTCCTTTTTTTTAGAAGCGTCTATTTGTAGTGTTACCTCCTTTTGAGGGTTGAAATATGCACGCACTGGCCCTGGTTCGGCAGTAAGAGTGTCTTTGATTTGCTGGAGAGCTCGCACGTGTTCTTCTTCCCATTTGAACGGCATGTCTTGGCTCAGCAGCAGTCTGAGTGGTGCGCTCATTTCTGCCAGGTGAATTAATCTGGTGAGATAATTCACCATGCTGAGGATTGTCTCCAGCTCTGCAGCGTTTTCTGGAGGTTTCATGTTTTTGATAGCTTTTACCTTGAGTGGGTCTGGTTTCAGCCCGTTTTTTGTGGGCTTATGTCCGGAAAAGCTCACCTCTGTAACACAGATGCAGCACTAAACCTCTCTCTTGTGCGGTTGAGCATGGCTTTGAGGTTCTTGTCATGTTCCTCTTTTGTTTTCCCGAACACAATGATGTCGTCCACGATGCCTGCCACTGCTTCCAGGCCTTCATACGTCTCGTCAATCCTCCTCTGGAACTCATCTTGAGCAGACACAATGCCAAAGGGGAGTCTGAGGAAACGGTGTCTGCAGAAGATTGTGTTGAAAGTAGTCAGAAAGGACGACTCTTCACTTAGCTTGATGGGCCAATAGCCGGAACGTGTGTCGAGGATGCTGAAAAACTTTGCACCTGTAGGCTTGTATGTCACATCCTCAAGAGTGGGGAGTGGATAGTGTGGTCTCATTATGGCTTTGTTTAGAGGTCTTGGGTCCAGGCACAGCCGGAGTTGGGGTCTTTTCGGGTTCTCGCAGATTACAAGAACGTTGACCCATTTGGTGGCCTCTGTCACTTTCTGGACAATCTTGTCTCTTTCCATATTGTTCAGCTCTGATTTGACCCGATCTCTGAGGACAAAAGGTGCGACAGTCGGGTCCACTGTGAAGCTGCACTCACCTTGGAATTCCTCAATGTCTTTGAAAACGTCATGATGTCTGGTGCTTTGGTGGGCTGCTCTGCTTCCATGCTCTCCGTTACTGCATACTACAGATGGCACGATACCACTTTTTATGTCCGATACCGATATGAATCCGATATAGTGTGTTTTAATAAATAAAACTGTTTTTTAATATCTTTCTGCATTTTGTATAAGTTCAAACTCAACTTTAAATAAACAACAACACTAAAGCTATCCTGTTACACCTGTATGCAAAAAACACACTGCACCCAAAATATTTCATAGTTCAGCAAAACTGATCAATCTAATGAACTTAAACTTGCTCCATCCTCCCTGTTCTGGTATTTTAAAGAGTAAGCAGCCTAACTAGTAGGTTTGCCAACTCCCAGCAAAAAAGGTTTATGTGGAACATAAACAAGCGGACACGCGATGGTCTTACCATCGTTGTTGCTAATGACGACGCATAAAAACAGGCGCTTGTCCGTCCGTAGTGTGGTTATATTAAATATAAGAGAGAACTTTAATAAATGAATACAGCCACGACAGCGACATCAGAACCATGAAAAACATATTACCGTAAACAGTTTATTTTACGACACCACGAAACAAACGATAGCGTGAAATGAAACGACAGACGTTTTTATATTGTTTTTATATTGCAAGCTGTGAGTTAGCGCAGGTGGTCTGTAGTGGCATGGAGGCAGGCAGGTGAAGGGGGTGAACAACCCGTGGGACTGGCAGGTGGTCCAGCGTCCAGATGGGAGCTCTTCGGCAGAGATTTGCGTCCAGCAACTTGATGCGTGGAAGGGTTAGCTGAGAATCTGGCAAAGAGAGGTTGCGTACGCTGGCCTTATGAGTCCCCGGCTTAATCACCCACAGGTGCGAGCAATCAGCAGAACACAGAGGCCCCTCCCAGGGGTGGAGATGCCGGCTCGGAGGGAGACACACTAGCACACCCTCGGACCATGACACGCACAAAACACACCTGCACCTGCAGCACAGAGTCCTCCAGCCGGGGTGTAGCTTTGAGCCTGTGGCCTGATGGGAGTTGTAGTTCTTTCACAGGGTCTTCTCTCTTAATCAGAGAATCAGTGATCTGAGGAGGAGGCTCCATCTGTGAAGATAGCTGATCACTGAGGTGGTGGAGGAAAAAATCCAGCAGTACAGAGCCGTTCTCCTCCTGCAGGGGGTGCTGTGGTGTCTTCAGCCTGAGCGGGTGCAGCAGGAGATGAACTTCCTGAGTGAGCTGCTGGGCATGAAGGTGGTGCTGCTGCTGGAGCAGAGAGTCTTTACAGGAGAGACAGAGGGAGGGCGCCGCCATGATGGTGATGTTGGTGTAACGCCATCATGGATGAAACAAAGCTCGTGTGCTTTTTTCTGACATGTCAACTTTTTTTCCCCTTTCAGAAACAAAGACGTCACATCTGAGCTGGATCAAAGGAACAAATAACGTTTATTACTGTCGTCATAGCGATCTTACAAAATTGCATCTTTACCCTGGTACAGGTGTGGGGTTCTCACGCGCAACTCCGCCCCCATGGCTGTGATTAGAGATATTACAGAGTCTTTTTTAATCAAAGTCAGTCCATCAAACAGCCTGAGCTCACAGCACAGCTGAGTCTGTGTAGCTGCAGGTCATCTGTCCGGCCAGCAGGTGGAAGCAGCGTGCAGCAGAAGAACTGAGCGCCCAGGTTACCAGTCAGAGGTAAACGTGTTTAAAGGAACAGAAGAAGAGTTCAAACCAACCTTTAAAAGTCCTCCAAACATTTTATTAAATTAAATCTGAAAAAACAGGAAACCTCACTAAACCTTTCACAATAAAAGCTCTTTACATCTTTATTTACATGTTAGCTCTCATGTTAGCACCTGCTGCCTGCAAACCTTCAGCCTGAAGGCGGGGTTAGTCACCTGGGACCACAGCTGTAGCTCTCTGATTGGACGCTTTCAAAGCAAAGCGTGAGAGCAAGGCTATCTTCCTAAAATACTGGAGGCTTCTCAGGGCAAAGCTGTTGTCTCGTCTGTCCTCGACATTTCCTCAAAGAGCTCGTCATCGTCCTGCCTCCAGACTCTGCGGATGAGTGGGTGGAGCCTCAGAGCTCAGGGGCAATTCTCGTATACGCCTCCCTCACCACCATCCATCTGGTAGATGTTGTCCACGGCGGCGGGCTGAGCGTGCAGCTGCAGAGTCGACGACGTGGGGTTGAACCGCACCGAGCGGCTGATATGCCGATGCTGCCGAGGGCTGAGACATGAGAGCGAGAGTGTTAGTCAGCTGTCAGGACCTTTGGCTATAGAAACATTAATGAGATTACTCTGACTGCAGGAGATTATAACATCCTGCAGAGAAGCTCCAAAATAAAACGATTTGCTGCTTCTGTCACATTTTATTATAAACCAAATATTAAAAAACATGATTTAATTTTATCCACACATCTAAAACTCATTGAATCTGTTTCCTGCTTTCATCCTCATCATGACTCAGATTTTCCAAAGTAAAAGCCTGAAACTTGACTCAAAGCAGTGTGAAAGGTCACTTCCTGTTCATGACTCTGATTATGCTGCAGTTCAAATGAAGCATTAACGAGCAGTCGTGTTAATGATGATGATGAAGGATCTTCCTCCCCGTGCTCTGAGGCTCCAGTGCAGCAGTGATGGAGGTGGAAACACTGAGGCTGTGGATCACCCACACCCACTCATGCTGGGGCGGCTCTGATGGACTCGGCTCACAGTCGCTGAATCACAAACCAAAGATCGAGACAACCCGTTGCTGTAAACGGCAGAGCTTTGGTAGTGTCGCGCTTGTTCTTGAGTTTGGACGCCATAATGGCGGACTGTGCTCAGGGCTTTTATGGACGGTGTTTCTAGTAGCGGAGGGGTGGAGGGTGTGGTGCTGCTGTGGGTGAACATGAGGCTCTGACACAGGCGTCAGCTCTAAATGATTCCACTCTGATGGGCCTTAAAGGTCGAGCGAGCCGCCGTTGGCTGGTTTGAACTCTGTGGTCGTCTCACCTCTCAGTTTCAGTCTGAACACGCGATGAAGGCTGAGAGATGATGAGTCACGACTTCTCAGCAGCGCCCGCGATGGTCGAGGTGCGGAGACACGTTAGTTACTCAGAAACACAAAGATAAGGATCGTGCACTCACACTGTGTGGAGGAGCTTCAGTCTTCTCACTGCAGAGACACAAAACAGCAGAACCATGTTAATGACGAGACGTTTGTGACATAAAAAGAACAAAGCACACAAATCAGCACCAAGCCGAGCGACCGAGCCCGACGCGAGAAACACAAAGACCAACGCACTGAGACGCGCTCCTGATGATCAGTGACCTCGCCTGAAACATCCAGACACCGTCGCTCTGTGAGGGCGGCGAGGTCAACGCTGCCGAGGCCATGTTGGGTCCAGATCGCAGCTCACGAAGAGCTGAATGAGCGCAGAACGTCGTTCAGTTTCTTTATTTTAACGTTGTTTCCTGTCTTACATGCACGCACAGCAGCAGACTGCAGCTAGCTTCATGCATGCAGCAGATGCTCCGGCCCCGTGAGAGGACCAGAGGAGGCCCTGACACGCACCTTCATCTGGACTTTAACACGATTCACTGCAGAAATGATGAGTCACGTCACACGGACGTGTTTGCTAATGCAGCTCAGCGTTTCCATCAGAGCTGCTGCTACAGAGCGGGGGCGCTGACGTCAGCACGAGGGTCTACCGCACGATTCTCAGTAATGATGAGCGATCCAGCCCACGCGCTCGCTCTGCGGCGACACAGACCCGAACATCTGGTTCTCAGGAGAAGGCGGAGCTCCTCGGGCGTGTCTGCAGAGGTGAAGCTCGGGAACAAACTGTTGAAACGTTCACACCTTCAGCTCGGCCTCCGCACCATCTCAGCGGTCTCGCCTCCTGCAGGGGGCGCTGTGGTGTCTCTAAGCTTCCCTCTCACTGGAGCTCCATGTTTGTGTTAAACAGTCTGGTTTCAGCGCACTCTCCTGTCTCCGAGACATCTCCACGCCTTCACAGGTGTGCCACACCTGTCCACTCCTCATCCTCTTGTCCTTTTGCAAGGCTCCATTAAATATCCAATGATTATTGTACAAAAATAAAAACAATCAGCTGATCTGAGAGGACCTGACCAGGACGTGTCCCTGTTTATTAAACTGCGCTGCGTCACATGACCTCCATGTTTCCTGTCTGGCTCAGCTAAAAACACCAGATCATGGACGGGGAACTTCCTCTTTGTCCTCCGTTACTTTGTGCTTCTCTGCTCTGGCTTCCAGTTTCCTACAGGATCAAACTTTTAGCCCCTTCATACCTGTCTGAGCTCCTTTCATGCTCCAGAAAAAGCAGGAGGTCCAGCTCAGGATGAATGCTGTCCGTCCCTCGGACTAAACTCAAATCTCGTGGCGATAAAGCCTTCTCTCTGGCAGGTCCCAGACTTTGGAGTAGTTTCCACCTGAATATTTAAATCACTTCTAAAGACACATTTTTATACTCTGTTCTTTAACACACTATGACCATTTGGTCTTATTCAGTAGTCTTAGGTTTTGTTTTATTCTCTTATTGTCCCTTTATTGTTTTACATTGTTTCTGTTTTAATGGCATCATTGTTGGGCACTTTGTGCAGCACGAGCTGTCTGGAAATGTGTATACACAAACTTGACCTTGTCACTGTGAGGACAGTTTGACTAAACTCACCCAGGAGTCCTACGATGGCGAGCAGAGACACCAGCCCCAGCAGGACGCAGACGACCACCACCATCAGCTGACCGCCGTCCTCGCCCTGTAAACCCAGAAAAACACCACATGACTCTGTCACAGGGAAGCTTCACCTTCTGTAATGCAATCAGCAGAGAGTTCGTCTGTTTGACTGACTCTACTCTTTGGTCTCACAGCATTTATTCAAATAACACTTTTATATTTGGTGCCTTCTTTCCCAGCATGCATCTGGCTGCCACAGTGAAGTCAGTGCGATGGCTTTAAAAAGCTCAACAACACAATGAACTCGTATTGAGCCACACAAAGTTCAGTGTATTTCCCATTTAGCCTCCTTACCCCTCAGAGACTGAGCACAAAATCACTACGAGCTCATATCCACCTGCTGCCCCTGGACAGGTGTGGTAAAAGGTGTGACTCCACCTGTGTCGTGTTATTCAGTATCTGTGGTGTATAAATAGCCCTGCTGCTTCTCTGTTTATCAGGTGGTCAGTGGTCTTGTTTGTGGTTTTCTGGTCTCACTCTCTTGTTGTCTAAACTGCTTTTGTTTCCTCTTGTTCTTGTTGCAATTATAATCATTACATATTAGGACCATATCACCCTATTAGAGCACTTGGCTCTCGCTCTGCAGGCCTACTTGTTGTTCCTAGAGTATTTAAAAGTAGAATGGGAGGCAGAGCCTTCAGTTTTCAGGCCCCTCTTCTGTGGAACCAGCTTCCAGTTTGGATTCAGGAGACAGACACTATCTCTACTTTCAAGATTAGGCTTCAAACTTTCCTTTTTGCTAAAGCATATAGTTAGGGCTGGACCAGGTGACCCTGAATCCTGCCTTAGTTATGCTGCAATAGGTGTAGGCTGCTGGGGATGGCCCCGCCCCTCCCTGAGCCTGGTTCTGCTGGAGGTTTCTTCCTGTTAAAAGGGAGTTTTTCCTTCCCACTGTCGCCAAAGTGCTTGTTCATAGGGGGTCATATGATTGTTGGGTTTTTCTCTGTATCTATTATGGTAGGGTCTACTGTACGATTAAAGCGCCTTGAGGCGACTGTTGTTGTGACTTGAGGCTGTATAAATAGTTTTTATCAGCTTGTCAGTTATCTTTAAGTTGCTCTAATTTTTACAAATACAGTGTGTGTGAAAACATAATTAATTTTATATATAAAGAACCAAGAAATACTTTTTTTAATCTCAGGTTCTGGTTTGGACTGTCCAATCACACGAGGCCGCGTTAGCAGTAGTGTGAGCTGCAGACAATCCAAATAACGTGATCAGAAACATTTAACACACAAACTGACATGAATACAATTTAATCCGTTTTTTAAGATATAATGTGAGACGTAAGGACCCACAGACACCTGGGAGCTGTTTATTCATGTAACTCGATGAGGGTCGCTCACATGGATCCTGCTGCTGGATGTAACTCTGTGAACCTGCAGGGATTTCATACACTCAGAAGAAAGACTTCTACAAACAGCTGGAAGCGTGCAGGATTATTGTTAGGATGATTCTCACTGTTCACATCCTCAGTATGAAATATGTGGGGTGATGGTAACAGCAGCAGGTTTGGCACAGCTAAGGGAGGACGTAACTCCATTAGGTTTAGCGGTTATAGATCGCAGTGACTGCAGTGTTTTTAATGTGAAACTGTCTTTAAGGATGTGAAAGTCCCGACACCCTGACTTCGGTCGCTCTCAGCGACTTCATGTTTTCATGCTGTTTTTCTTTCCTCACCTCGCTGCTGCTCGTCATGGTGGAGGGCGAAGTCAGGAGGCTTTCTGCAGAGGTCATGTGACCTGCAGCATGAGGAAGCGAAAGCAGAAGATTTTAAGACAGCTGTGTCAGCAGCAGCATGATGTCATTAATTTTAGCCTCTGATCCTTTATTCCAGAAACACACTGAGTCTGAGACCAAACAGTTCCTGTCACTTTCAGCCTGATTGGACAAAAATCAGGAAGCGATGCTATAAATATGTGATGACTAATAAAGTTTGTTCCACAGAAATGTAAACGATCCTCTTTCCTGTCATCTGTGTTTGGTCCTGACAATCATGTGTTACTTCATTTCTGTCATCAGCTGATTAATCACAGGTCACCTTCAGAGGCTGCCGTCGGCTCTGTGGGCGTCTCTGAGTTTGGCGCCGTCCATGTGGGAGTTTGTGGCGCTGAAACAGATCATTGACATGACGTCAGCACACTCTGCTTCAGATGAGTCTTTGTAATGAGAGGATCAGCAGGTGAGAGCAGTTAAACGTTCAGAGAGCTGCAGCTTCCTCGTGATGCTATTATCAGGAAACTAAAGCCAAACAGAGATTTCTTTATTTAAACACGACTCGAGTCACGACTTCATGATGCTCAAATGAAAAGAGGAAAAGGAAACAGCCCCGAGGTTAGACCTGGTCGACGTGCTGATTCTGAACAAGGACAACTGTGTGAGGAAGACTCTGCTCACTGTGTAGACTGAGACGAAGCTGTAGTTGCTATGATACCAGAGTCCGATGGTTCTGGTGTTGTAATTCCTCACCTGTGACGACGCTCAGGTCAAAGTGATGCTTCTCATCGTTGAACCAGCCGGGTATCTCCACCCTGCAGCCGTATTGTCCAGCGTCTCCCTCTGTCAGGTTCATGATGGTCAGAGAGACGTCTCCGTCCTCCAGTCGGCCCAGCAGCTCATACCTGCTGGAAGCTCTGGTTAACACTCTGAGTCCATCTGTGGAGATCAGCGGATTGGAGCAGCCTCTGGCTGGTATTTCTCCTCGCTGCCAGCACGCTGACAGAGCGCCGTGATACTTCCTGTCATATTTACAGGGCAGAGTGACGTCCTGACCTGTGTGACCTTTGACCCTGCTGCCGTCACATTCACAGACTGGAAACAGAAACACAGGAAAGCTTTGTTACATCAGATCCAAACTCTGCTCAGGGCTCAGATCAGGTCAATGTCATATCATCTTCACTGGTTTTACTGGTTTAACTGGGTCTGAGAGAGTAATTTCGAAACGGGGATCAATAAAGTATAGATTATTATCATTATTAAACTGGCGTTTTAATCGATACCAGTGCCTGATCAGTTTATAGATTCTGCTTGTTTGGCAGTTTGATGTCAAAGTTTAAAAGAGAAGGTCAAAGGAGCCTGGAAAGAAAAGCGTCTGGACTTCTTTGAGTTGCTTGAAGACGTTTTAACTCTCATCCGAGAAGCTTCAGTTCTAAAACCAGAAGTTTAGTTCAAAAATCATCCCCTATGTAGCCGGTGTATCACAGAAACTCAGGAGAGTTTTCTCCAAGCACGACATCCTGGTTTCAGACCCAGCAACACGCCCAGACACAAACTGGTTCATCCCAAAGATTACAAGACAAACTCCCAACTCTTGAGCCACGATCGCCCTTTCGCCTCCTTTATCTTAGTGTCCTCGATTACTTTCAACTCTGTCTTGTTACCCTTATGTTTCCTTGCTCTCGGATCACCTGCTGCTTCCATGTAAAGCTTCAGTTTGTTTCTGTTCTCTGTATGTTCCCTTTGTTCCTTCGGTCTTTAGGTATCTAGACTCTGTCTTTGTGTGTTATTGGAGTTACTAAAGGTTAGTTTTGTCTTTGACCTCCAAGACTCAAAAACAACACGTAAGGATGAGAATCATGGAAAACAAACCCAGATGGTGTTTGTGAAGCCTCAACATGAACATTTCCATCGTCACCATGGAAACCAGACATGAGAAGCAGGAGGTGGATGAGACTGAAACAACTTGTCAGTCACAGGTTTTTAGCCAATGAGCATTTCCAGGATAATCCTCCTCTCTGACACATGGAGTGACCAAAATCTACAAACTACACGTTAAATTAGATTAAATGTGAAAACAGTGACTGAGTTCACACTCATCAGGTCGGGGATCAGCCCCAGGCCCCCTGCTGGCCATTAGAAGAATGCAGGTTTAAGACACATTTGGCTTCACTTTTTAGAAATCCAAGCTCCGTCCAGCTTTGCTCTCCGTCAGCTCACCCAGGCTCAGCGCCAGAGAGACTTTGACCTTTAGATGAATTCTCACACAGCTACAGATGTGACAGAGAGAAGAAGACGTTTATCCACTGTAACCCTGGAGAGGACGGCAGTGAGGTTTAGACCGCCACTGACCCTGTCCCCCCGAGTTTGTGACAAAATCACTGCTTATTATCCATCATTGAAGAGACGTCAGAGATCAGTTTCAGTAAAAAAAAGACCTTTGGGGTCATCTGAGGTTAAAAGGAAGCACACAGTGAACCAGCTGTTATCTCTGGGTAACGTTTGGGTAACATGACGTTCATTCTCGTTGTTAGCCAACCCTTCAGGAAACCCAGCTGTGCTGACGGGGATTCGAGTTTTCACACAACTATAGATCACATCCACCATGTGAGGCAGAGAGATAAAAACAGCAGATCAAAGTTCCACCAGCAGCACAGCTGAGGGGGATCACGCGTTTTCAGTGATGATAAAGGTTAAATAAAGACACCAGGCAAATAAATCTCAGGATCAGAGACAGTGGAAAGGTGCAGGTTACCTGTGAGCAGCGCCAGCAGCAGCACGACCTTCATGACGAAGCCCGAGTGACTCGTCAGAGCTCGCCAACACGTTTAAACAGCTGCTGACAGCCTGCGAGTCATCACAGCTGCACGCTGCAAAAAATGATCCTGAAACCACAAAAACAGAGAGGCGGGGCTCCTGACACAGTCTTTACTCAAACAGTTAATCCACGGATTCGACCCCGGATTATTTCCTTTACAGTTCAGCGTTTTGTTGACATTTAGCTCCCTCTGTGGTTATCATCCTCACCCCCTCGTGTCCTCCATGTTTTCTTCCTTTACGTTTTATAGTTTGGTTTTTTCTGGAGGTCTCATGCTTTGTAGCGCTGTGGTTCTTGTTGTACTTGAGTTTATGATTGATGCAGTCTGTTCAGTGTAGCCTGTGTAGTATTTATTCTTGGAGTCATTTCCTGTTTTATTTTGGTAGTTGGCTTTCTTCTGTCTTGTGCTTAGTTTTACTTCCTCCCCCGTCTGTCGCCCTCCTGATCACCTCAGGTGTATAAATAATCCTTCCCTCAGTCTTTGGTTCAGTTTGTTGCCTTCGTTGGACTGTTATTGGGCCGGGCCGTTAACCAGATTAACCAGTCAGGAGCAGATTATAGAGCAGAGATGGTGGTTTCGCAGCACAGCGACCCCTGAAAGCTGAGCTGAGAACGGTCACAGACAACAACAATAAAGAAACAAAAATAGTTTTGAGTTCAGTTTATGTCCTGAGTCTTTGTGTCCGTCCCTCTCGTCTTATGCACATAGAACAAACGTCTGAAGGTTGACGTAAGCATGAAGGTGGTGCTGCTGTTCAGATGAAGCTGACCTCAGACGTTTGCTTCTGTCTGCTCTCAGAACTGAAGCCACAGTAGACGCCAGACTGAAGCTTTGAATCCTCAGAGTTAAACCAGCAGCATCATTTCGCTTAGATTAATCAAAAACAGCTATTTACTAGAAATGAAACCTTCAGAGCTCACCAGGGGGCCGCAGGCCACGCTTTGTGAACCACTGATGTGAAAAACATTACATATGATATTTCAGTCATTACAAAACATGTATTATAGTATTTAATTAATAGCTGCAGCATTTACTGTGTATTAAACTATTTTATTGTCTACAGAGAACATTTAATATCTATTCTGTGTACATTTGTAATATTTTATGCAGAATTATGGTTTATTTACAGTATTTTCTTGCATCTTTCAGTGTTTCTGCAGCTGAGCAGGCAGAGCTGAGCTGCAGTCACTACTTTCATGGTTAAGTTACTAAACTTCCGCCTCACAGACAGCAGGATGACTACGAGGGGGAAGTTTTCCCCCACAGCACAGCTGAGTCTGTTCAGCTGCAGTTCATCGATCAGCCACATGGTGGAGGCAACGAGCACTAAACAGGGGTGAGAAACACAAGAAGAAGAACTCACAGTGAGGAAAAAAAGGTGAGTTCCAACCAACCATTAAAACAATTAAATTAGCAGACTCATTTGTACTGTTGAAAGTGATTATTTAACACATCAAGCCTTAAATAAAGGATTGTTTAAGGCTTCCAAGCTTGAGGTCCATACGGTACATCTCAAGGAATCAATTTTCTCACTTAACGAGATTATAAAAGATGCCAGAACTGAATATTTTGCTAATCTAACAGCTTCAAAAAAGAAAAATCCCAGAGTATTGTTTGAAACAATTAAAAACATTGTCTCTCGTGATATTCCTCACGTACCAGTCTATACTAAATCTCATTGTAATGACTTTATTTTAATTGAATTGATTGATTTACCTTTATTAGTCCCACAAGGGGAAATTTCATAAGGCTGCCGACCTATTGCACGCAATGGCGGCGCCATCTTACCCTCCGACCATACATACAT